CTCCCCAAAACCCCAAAACCCCAAAACCCCACTATTGGCAGCCAAGTTGAACTGTATAAGAGTGATAAATTTGGTTAATTCCTAAAATTATTTGAAGTCTGCTAGAAGTCCTTTCTCTTTATCGTCTTCCTCATCTTCATCACACTCTTCGACTTTATCTTCAATCTGATTTTTCTCTTCAGACTTCTCAATCAAGCTTAAATAAGCATTCATTCCAAAATTGATTGTCTTACGTTCTATTTGTTCGTCTACATCATGATTAATCATTCCGTCAAACAAGGATTCCTTCAAATGAGATAATAGGGAGTTAGCTTTGATACTTGGTTTTGGGAGCCTAGTATCTTTAGTCATGAACCCTACAGAGAGCCAGAGCTTCACCTTAGTGCTTTCATCATTGAAGTTCATCTTAAGCACTTGGTCATAGTAGTCATACTGGAACTTATCGCAGTATCTTATATTAGCCAAGATGTCGTAGACTCCAATCCCAGTGATCTTCTTATGTGTGGGCTGGGCTGAGACTATTGCACTGAGAGTTTGGTCCATGATTGTCTTCACACCATAGTGCTTCCTCAGATGTCTTTCCATAGACATGAGGTACATCGAGTCACAGTAATCCAAAGCATCGGAGTAGTTTGGCAAGTGCTCATCTAATTGATTGTTGATTCTTATTAGGAATGGGGTCTTTCTGAGGATATACGATATTAACTTTTTAAACACTAAACCGAAGAGAAGAATAAAGAACGAGATGTATAGGATGTAGGCAGGAGTAGCAGTAACATTCTCAAACAAGGTATGACCTGTCTTCTCAGCTATAGGCTTCGATTGGGTGTCTAGCTCGACATAGTTCTCAAAGATTTGCCTGTTTGAAAACATCCAAAATCCTACACCAAACATGAACAATGGAGCCCATTGCATCAAAGAAATTGTAGCTTTATTCAGCTTGTTGTCATATGAGGGTGGTTCTCTGTAATAATAAACGATGCAAAGTTTATCAACAATATAATCAATCACCAAAGTAATCAAGCCGATAGGGAACAACCATGGAATTGCAAGCCCATAAGTAAAACTTGTAAACACAATATTGAGGATTCTTGAATACTTAAAATGGACAAGATACTCTGGACCAGAATAAAGATCGATATACTGCTGGATGGTTTTGCTTCTAGTCTTATACTTATTACAAGTAAGCCCTTTGTCGAGAATTCTGAAGAACAAAGACATGCCAAAATCCAGAGCAACTTCGATGAAAGGCCATAAAGTATTAAACATCATTGTGAAGACAATTGAAGCCCCAATATCTGAATACCAATTGAAGTTGAAATCAGGGTAACCTCCTTTGAAAATCCCCATGTTTGAAAATGCTTCCGTAGTATTTGCATTCACAAAATTTATCAGGATTGATGTATTCAAAAATTGTGCAATGAAAACGAATACCATGATTACAGTCGCCTGTGATGTCTCAGTATGGAATCCAACTCTATGTGACATGTAGATTACTCCTTCTCTGAGTAAATAGTTCAGGAACACAATTACTATTGACACCACAGAACTCCAGAAAGGTGCAAATAGGAGATCTTTAGCCCATTCTCGACAAATTTGCTCCTCATATCTGTTCCCGTCTACTGTCACTTTTGGGTGCTGGAAATAGTTATTCAGAGTAGCAAAAAGACCTCTCTCAGCATAAAATTGATCACAGAAACATTGAAGTGCGCCTGTCATTCTGTTCTCTAGCTTCGACTCATAATAATCAAAGTAGTCGATGAGGGCATATCTGAGCCTCATACTGTCATTCTCAATATTTTTATTGAAGCTATCACAATTAAGGTTCATGTATTTTCCATTAGCTACTGACAGTCCTCTCTTCAGATAAAAGAAAATAGCGAAGGCTATTATTAGAAGGATAAACATAATAGAGATTACAATGGCTAATCTCGTAAAAATATGAGTCCAACTATAATGACTATTCTCCCAAATAATATTGGTTGGCTCTACTGCAGGGCTGAAGACAGATTGAAGCCGAGATGTCATCTTGATAGCACGCTCATACCCTTCTTGAGTCTCAAATGTAATATATGCAAGCGAAGGTGTTGAGATTTGATCCCTGTTGTTCTCTCCTAACTCATAGATTTCCTTTTCGATTTCGATCTTTTTCTTCATATCGTGATTAGCTATCGCTGTTCCTCGTTGATCAAGAAGTTCTATCATCTCATGATTGTTAAAGGAATACGTAATATTAGCAATCTTGATAACATTAGTTTCATGGATAACAAACTCTTCCTTGCTCACTTGGTTCTCAACTCTGTGTTTGAGGACGCTCATGTAAGCTAGAGGGGCTGATTCCCCACTCTCCTCACGATGTTGCTCCTTGAAGAACTCGTAATCATCTTGGTCAATCTCGTATGAAACAGTGTAGTCACTAGCAGTGATCATATCTAGATCCCATTCTTTTGCAGATATCTTTAGTTTATTTTGGGCATAATACAGAGTTACCAACAAGGACAAACCCATGAAGAGACCAATAGTCATTATGTAGAATGATTGAGCCCTTTTGCTCTCAACTACTTCAATGTCCTGCAAACATTTAACATTAAGGAAGAAGATTGAGTTTTCATTGTTACACCGGTCTTCTGGACCATTAAAATGTTGACTGACATGCTTTAAAATTCAAAATTTCTTATTGCTGCATTCGGTTTCATACTGAAGTTCAAAGTCTGCTGAAATGCGGCTTGAACAAGCAGCTGTGTCTCCAATACCATCAATACAGACATTTCTATCCTCTGCATCCGATGGGACAATACCATAAGACCCAATCTTTGCTGAGAGAGTTCCTGTATTTCAGAATAGGATCATCGATTCCATTTTCTTGGGTACGGTATATCAACTTGAAGTAGAGAATCCAAAATTTCCAAGTGTTGGGGCTGTATAAGATTCCTTTTTAGTCCCTCTCATATTATCGTATCCACTGTATATCACAATCATCGGGATAGAAAGAAGTGTAAAGAGGATGAAGGCGATGATCAGGTATTTCATTAGGTCAAACTGAGCTACTATCCCAATCCCAAGCAAGTTGAGAGGTTCTCAATCTACCATCTCCTGCTGACTTTTGGCAGCTTCTTCTACAACTCTATTTGAAGATTTTCTATGCTTTTTCACTAACCCTTTCAGGCCTCCTAGTTTATCTGCCTTCATGTCTGCATAGGCTGCTTCTGAAGTGACAAGCTTCGTAAATTTAAGAGATGTCTGCTTAGCCTTGTTAGCCTTCTTTCTCCAGAAAACTAATGGTTTTAAAAACGTGAACACTTCATGAAGCGCCAGATTATTAAGAGGATACCTCTGATTTATCAGTTTCTCCGCTTTATCAACTTCTTCTTGGTTTAACTTGTCCTTAGGTTCAATTTCAAACTCCTCCATGTGCTTGTCCTCTTCTATGAGAGAAGAGCCTTCCTTCTTATTCTCTTCTTTGTCCATATTGCTTATATTTCAATTGTAATTTTATATGCTGGGGTTTTGGGGTTTTGGGGTTTTGGGGTTTTGGGGTTTTGGGG